ACAACCAACTGACCAACCAATCAAAAACACACACACACCGACCAATGAATGAAAATAGCCAAAAAAAAAACCAAAAAAAAAAAAAAAAAGTATTATGCATGTCAACGCCAAAACAAAACAATACAATGGAAATACTGATATCATTATCCAGTTTATATAACTAACTGGGACAACAATGATGGTCTACCCAAATCAACAACAACAATAACAACAATGGAAGAGATAAAGTCATTATATAAACATCATCATCAAATTGTTTGGAAAGTAAATGACCAAAAAAAATGGCTATTACTACCTTCAGTCAGTCACTTTTGGTTTTTAATGTTTCCACCAGAAAAAAGTTTCTTCTTTTTCTTCTTTTTTTTCATTTTTGGTTATGGAAAAACCAAAAAAACTTTTATCAAATTTGATTGAATTACAACAGGAGCAGCAGCAAAAAGTTTTTTGAAAAACCAAAAATGAATCAATATCGACGACGAAAATGGACAATAAAAATGAATCAGAATAATGTTCGAGAATCTTTTCAACCCAGAATCAAAAAATCATGGAAAAGAATAATTTGTCCTAACCTTTCTCTGTGTTTCTGTTTCTCATTTCAAACACAGAGAGAAAAAGTCTCATTAAAATTTATGAATGTTTTTTTTTAAAAAAAACCACTAACCAAACCAGAAAATTTAGGATCCAATTAAATTTTACCTAATCTGGATTTTCTTTTTGTTTCTAAAATGCAAATATCCTCTCTCTCTTTCTGTGTGTTTTAACTAGGCTGTGATTCACACACACACACAAAACATCAACGAAATTTTCTTTCTTCTACTTTTAATCCATTAGTGCATTCTGTTTTTGTTTTGTTTTTGCAATTTACCAAAAAAAATAACTACACATTTGTTTAGGTTAATATACCTTATTCGCCAACAATCTCATACAAACAAACAAACAAACAAACAAACAAACAAGCAGACACCCACACACACACACACACAAACATAATAATCAAAATCAAATGAATAAGAAATGAAAAACAACAACAACAAGATCCAGGAATTGTAAAAGTAAAAACAGATTTTTTTGTTTTGTTTTTCAGGTAAGTGCAAGTGCAAGTGTTCAGGTAAAAACCATATGGCCGAAAGAGAGAGAGAGAGAGAGAGAAATATTAATGAATGAAATTCTGTTCTGGATTTTATGCCGAAATGGATCTAAACCAAAATACACACAATTCTTGTATTTTAGGAAGCAAATAGATTGAAAAATAAAAATAAAAATTTAACACTGAATTATCCAAAAAAAAGGAAAAAGTAAATCAGGAAGAGAAGAAAAGAATAAAGGAAACATTTATTGATGACAATAATGTAACTGTCAGAAAATTTGTAATGTGTGACAAGAAAAGAGATGAGAAAATATTTCAATTTCCATTCTCATCATCATTTGTTGTTGTTGTCATTGTCATAATCGAAATAAATTTGAATATTAACAACAACAACAGCAACAACTGAAATGAAAAAAAAAAAATAAAATTGAAATGAAAAAAAAAAAATAAAATTGAAATGAAAAAATGTCGGCTTCTTTGCCATAAATGGATGGCAAAAAGGAAAAAAAAAATAGTGGCTACAGTAATACTTCGACATTGAAATCTATTCAGTTGAGTGAGTGTGTGTTGATGATGAAAAGGAAATCCTATTTTTTTTTGTTCTTCTCCGGCACTATATATTTATTTGTCCACCAAAAAAGATTCACTTGGTATATTTTGCTTTTTGTTAAATTAGTTTTTTTATGGAGGATTGTTGTTGTATTTGCTTAATGCCAGATACATTTGTGTATGTTTTTCAGCAACATCAGAACCAAGAATGATGATTACGGAATTCCGGTTACACAGTTGAAAAAAGTATGAAATTTTTTTTTGAAAACGATGAGAATTTATGACAAACTAATAATAAATCTTTTTGGAAAGTGATTTTTTTGAAGAAAAAACAAACAAAATGTTTTCGTTCAAAATTTATTGAATTTTTTTGTTTGTTGCCTATTTTAACTTTGGTCGGTTGATGGCAAAATGAAAATGGAACAGTATTGGAACTGGGGGGAAAGAAAAAAAGATTATAGCCAGAATCAACCAGAATCAGATGGATGGATTTTTTTTAAAAAAATCTGTGACCAAAGGTAGATTTTCTATTCAAACAATTTTAATTTATTCGGTAAAAAATATTCCGTTTTCTGATTTTCGGAAGAAACAAAAAATATTCAAAATTTCAATTTGAAAAAAAACAAACTGGAACAAATTAGTTTGTGAACCGAGAGAGAAAAAGCCATTTTTTGTCCGGATAAAATGAGCAAAAAAAAACATTGTGAAAAAGATTTTAAAAAAAAAAATTATATAAATCGGTCTTGGTGTATGTGTGTTTGTGATACGTGATAATGACGATTTTGGTGGAAAGAAAAAGACAAACATCAAAATTCAATTCCATTTATCATCATCATCGTTGAAAACCAAAACAACTTTAATATATTCTTGTGAATAAATGAACAGAATATATTTTTTTCTTTTTTCATTTGAAAATAAAGAAATTCAATGAAAATTAATTCAACAAAAAAAAAGATGGCGAAAATGTTTGATCGATTGAATTGTTTTCATTCATTGCTTTTGGTTGTTTTTAAGCATTGAGCATTGAGTCCTCACAAAAAAAAACACTTGGCTTGTGAAATTGAGGAAGAGAGGAAGTGAGAGAGTGAGAGAGAGAGAGAGAGAGAGAGAGAGAGAGAGAGAGAGGGA